ATACGAAAGTGCCAGTGTCCCAGACGACATCACATTGCAGAATTGGAATGTCAGCAATATCGATAATACTCCTCCAAATATCGCAGCAATCACCACTGGATCACTCTTCTTCCTGAATACAACATATCCAATATTCAATCCTACAATCAGAATGGTTTGAATCATAAACAGGAAATTCTGGGTATATTCTGCCGCCACAAATGACTTGAATGCCACATTCTCTTTCTTGCTCAACAATTCAAATGAGTCATTAATCGCCTTCCTATAGGAGTCCCCTGTTATTGCCAAATATGAGAATGTAAACTTGTTCAATACATGAACATACGACTCAACCAGAGACAAAATGCAATCAGCCATGCACAGAATGACCATTTCAAATGTCCCAGGCTGCTCATCACTTCTTCCACTTCTCTGTCTTCTTAAATTGACCAAATATCGTAGTGTCTTGATGACTGCTATGATAAGTGCTCCAAATGCAACTGATCCCATTGCATAAGCCATGTTTCCTAATGCTCTTCCTGCTACGGATGCCTCTCTATCATCCCTCTCACTTGATGTCTTCTTCAATAATTCACCTGTTATTATTCCAGCGGTGAATACGTCAAACAGGTACATAAAGAATGAATTGATCCAGAAGATTGAGAAGATGAGGGCTGTTCCAATCGCATTTCCGATGTCTTCTTTCTCTCCGAAGCTGAATGCCATACAGACTCCTATTGTACCATTCAGGACAATCAGTAGCAAGAAGTTGAATAATAATGCGAATATGTGACTATTCAGCATGCTGGATGTTGTACTGAAGAGTTGTGCAATTATATCAATGTGTCCTCTGATGTACAGCCAGACTAAGACTGATAAGAAAAGAGAGAGACCAGCAGTAACAATCATCCCAGGCTGACCAACCATAAGTCCCAGTATCAGACAGCAGAGTGGCATGAGAAACAGACTGGTGTATATGACCAACTTTGGTGCTACCGAATAGAGGCAGAACATCATCATATTCAACACCATTGATATTGCCAGGTTGAACCCAAGTCCCTTAATCAGTTCGTTAACCAGTACGTTTGTTTTAGATTTGTCAAGTGATATGGAGTAGATTCGTGCTATTCCAATTCCAGTGAATGTTCCACTAAAGAGCAGAAGTAGAATGAATGCCCATGCATCATGGAATGACCTTCTTGGTGCAAAATGTAACTCAGACTTCAGTAACATGGGTTGTTTTAAGTCAAAAACAAAAGGAGTTGTTGGAAATATCAGTTGATGTCGTTTTATTCTCCAACATCACTTGTTTTTGTATGGTCTCTTTGACATGTTTGACACCTTTTTTGATATCAGTTCAACCATCCCACAAGAACTACTGGTATGTAATTTGTAGATTGTTCTTCTACGTGTTACACATTTAGTGATCATTGCACAAATAACGTCTTAAAAATCAACAACATTTTTTGATATTTTGTAAACTACTACTTTATAGTCAATAGTTCATGTGAATAACAACAAATAACTCAACCAAGTTCAGCATTTTGATTGATCACAAAAAGCACAAATTTTACCTCAGTATTACCGTTAACTTTGTAATGCAATATTTTAGAATCGACCAGTTTGAAGAACATGCAATTGAGAAGGATGTGGAGCTTAAAAAGGTGACTGTCAATGAAAACAAGGCAAACGAAACAATGTTTAATGCAGACCAGGATCCCCTTAAAATGCAGGGAGCCAATAAAGACTGTGATAAGCGGATAATCAGCATACAGGCTGTTTATAAAATAGATGTGGTGTACCAGATCATCATATCAATTCTAACATTCGGATTGTACTTTTTAATCTGCGAATTAAGTAGGAAGGCGTACCTAAGGCTAAAATTCATCAGTACAAAATTTGAAAAAGCAACACACGTCATACTATTAGACCAGTTTGAACATAAGGAATTGTATCTGGTAGAAAACCTACAGATACCGAAAGAGATAAGGCATACAGTTCTAATGAAGAGATATTCCAAAGGAAATAATGGAATAGCCAAAACAGTAGACACACCTTACACCCGATTCATATTTGACTTCAAATTGAATCAATTCGTGTCACCAGACTATTCAATGAAGAATATTGAACAAATGAGCACACTTGAAAGACTAATAATATTTGGCAGGAATGAAATTAGGGTTCCCGTTAAAACACCCTTGGAAATATTCGAAGATAACTTCTTTGAAGTAAACTTCCTATGGGAAATAAGCGTAGTGATTGTATGGATATCAATCCGATACTACATATACGCAGGAGTAACAGGTGCTATCTACATGTCACTCTTCCTCAAGAATACCTATGAAGAATACATGCATAATAGCAAGCTTAAACAGGAAATTTGTTCGACAAATAAGGTTAAAATACATAAAAGGATTGAGAATGAAAGAGGGGTTGTGGAATACAAAGCAGTGAGCTACAAGAACATATTCCCAGGAGACATCATTTTGATAGAACCAACAAAGACATTCAGGTGTGATGCACTTCTGATTCATGGAGACGTAATAACAGACGAGACATTTTTAACAGGTGAATCTGTGCCAATTTGTAAGGGAACAAATGACATAATTTATGCTGGAACAAGGGTGATTCGAAGCATTTCAAATGAATGCAATTCAAAGCTAAAAACACGTCATAGCTCCAAATTGGTGAGAGTCAGAAACCTGATGGATGACAAGAAGAAACAGATTGTTGAGAAGACTGAACCAGAGAGTTTTGAACCAGCTTTGACAACACATCGTTTTGCTGAGGGAATCGTTGTGAAGACTGGAAGAAGAACAAAGAGTGGACAGCTGGTGAAAAACATGCTGATCAGAAAAAAGCCAAACAACCAGTTTGCCAATGACTCCTTCGTGATCTCAATTTACCTGATGATGGCTACAATCCTCGTTGTATTGGGTTTTGTCACGTACATGACTCAATACGTCCGATTTGGACTAGCATGCGTCTACTGCCTTGATCTGCTTGCCACAGTCTTCTCTCCCTCCCTTGTCACCTGCTACTGCTTCGGAATTCTACGGGCTATCTCAGTTTTACGTGGCCTTGGGATCTCCTGCAATGACAGAGATCGAATTGTGATTTCTGGAAGTGTTGATCTTTGCGTCTTTGACAAAACGGGGACACTGACGGAGATTGGGCTGGAAGTGAAATGTGTTGATACGATCGATCAGAAAATACGCGAAGCAGGTGAATTTGCTCAAGACAGCCTGGCTAAGCTGTGCATGGCCACGTGTCACCAGATTGTTGAAATCAATGGGGAATACAGCGGAGATGTGTTGGATATGAAGATGTTTCTGTTTACAGGTGCAAAGCTGACTGAGACCAGCAATGGAATCACAGTCGAATACGTCAGAAACAGCGCAAATAAAACACTCCTAAAGGAATACAGGAATAGGAATAACACGAAAGAGGAGCAGGATTATAGGGTTCTGGTTGGAGAATCAAATATGGAAGAGATCAATTTGGATGAGTTGATTGAGACTGAGTACGGCAGATTCAGAATTCTACACGTGTTCGAATTCAACTCCACCTTGAAAAGAATGAGCGTGATTGTAAGAAACGAACTGACTGGGAAGCATTTCGTATTTTGCAAGGGTGCACCAGAAATCATTGCAAAATGCTCTACGGTGATTCCAGCAGAATTCGATACGAAAAACAAGCAGTTTGGAATGAGAGGATACAGGACGGTGGTGCTAGCGTACAAGACCATTAAAGAAGATGATCTTGATAAGATGAAGCAGAGTAGGACAATGGCAGAAGATGGGCTCATCTTTCTCGGATTCCTTGTTTTCGCTAACAACCTGAAGAAAGAGACAAAGGGGGTGATTCGAGACCTGAAAAATGCAGGTATCGCAAGCAGAATGTGCACAGGTGACTCGATCCTAACAGCAATTTCTGTAGCAAGGGAGAGTGGAATGGTTCCAGTTGATCTACCAGTCATCTTTCCAGTTATCAATGAGGAGTCTTCTACCAGAAATACGAAGTTTCTATTGGATTCGTTTAGAGAGGAATTTGACATTGAATGGGTTTGTGTGGCTGATGATGATTATCGATTTGATAGGAACAAATTGGAGTTGTATTCTGAATATGACGACTATACTGAGATTGAATATGCCTTGGCAATTGAAGCACGTGATTATGATGAATTGATCAAAATTGATCAATATAGGAAGCTAATTCTGAATAAGGGCATTGTTTTTGCAAGATTCACGCCTGAATTGAAGAAGCACCTTGTTGAACAATTTGATAACAGAACAACCTTGTTTTGTGGAGATGGGGCAAATGATTCAGGTGCACTCGGTGCTGCTGATGTGGGACTGCTTCTTTCAGATGGATCTAACAATCTGGTAAGCACATTCACAGCACAGTCTTTGAATTCTGTTTTGGATTTGATCAAAGAAGGAAAGGGAGCTCTGGTCACTGGGCTCAGTCAGTTTAAGTTTGTATTCTACATACAGCTTCTGAATGGATTTCAGATGATTGCTATGCTTCCAAATATGAATTTCCCTAGCGATAGTTGTGGATTGATCAACGACTTAATCAGCTTATATGGCTTGGCCAATCTTCTGGTTTTGTTTAGGAGCAGTACCAGTCTGAACAAATACAAACCACAGGTCAGAATCTACAAACAGATTGGCCACATTCTGGTTGAGCTGGTTATGATACTATTGGTCTACTTTATAACATGCAGATATTTCATGGAGACAACCAATTTCCCACGCAAATTGGCTGATCTAAATTCACCTGAGGAAATTGCAGAAAATCGAGTCAACGAGAAGTCAAACCAGGCCTCTCTTCTCTTTTACATCACAATGTGGTTGTATTTGGTCAAGGTCTGTTTCTTCGCAAATTACGGTGCATTCAAAGAGAGTAGAATCAGAAACACCAAATTCATTGCATTCCTCGCCATTTCATTTGGAGTGATGCTCTTCTTGTGCTGTGACAATTTATTCGACTGGAATATTCTGTATGAGAAGATTGAACTAGTGAAACTGACAGGTAATGAACTAATTGTGTTTGGGGTGGTATTTATCATATGCACTGCTATTACACTAACATTCAACTGCATTGATACAAATATCATAGTAACAAGTCATTGATCAAAACCTATTGTTTATTAACAGTTTTTTTTTCTTATCACCACAACAAACTCAAAGCGACTATACATTCTGATATGTAAGAGGCTGTAACTTCAATCCAATATTTCCACAAAAAGCAAGACACATTCATAGCCTTGCTTTCGATAGCAACCTGTTTTCTCCTCCTCTCAATGCCAGCACAAAGTGTATAACACAGTTTGAATTGATCTTGTACTCTGTGAGTGTTTTATCTCCTTGAATTAACACTTTCCCATTACAAATAAGTCTCTGCTGCTCAGGAGGTATCTTTTCATACTCCTCAATCTTCTGTTTTAACTCCGCTATGGTTGCAGATCCATCTATTTCTATTGCTTTATCTTTGCCTGTTAATGACTTCAGTTTCAAGTTCATTTTGGGATGTAAAACAAACATTTTTATTTTATGATGTTTCCTTCAAAATAAGTAGCATCATATTTCTTCAGTATTAAGGTTTCACATGTGTCATCTATTATACATAGATGTAGTTTATTGTTATACTTTTCCCACTTTTTTTGAACTAATAAAACCTTATTTTTGATTTTTTTTATTATCATAAAGTGTTTTTTCGTATTTTAACCTGTTATATTTAGAGTTTGTTACGTATGCATATCAAACAACCATTGCAATAGCATATAATCACCTTTAAACACATATCTTCAACCATATAACCAAGAATTCAAGCTATTTTGATCATTTCTACCTTTTAACTTTCATAAATTTATCCCCAATGTTGGTTGAAAATCTGAATAGGAACAAGGATGGTGATGCAGTATCTGTAATAGGTCAAGTAAACAAATTTGAAGGCGATTATGTGTTTCTAAAGGTGAATGAAAGTACAATCAAAGTGAAACATAATGGAATTGACACCTATAAAAACAGAATCGTGCTTGTACATGGAACTGTACAAGACTGTGTTCTAGTGGAAAAGAATGCGTACAAATTGGAAGACGAATTTGATTTTGAGTCCTATAAGAGATTCTTGGAGACAGCAAGCAACCATTCCGAAATTTACTAAAATCTACTACAAATAAATTTGTCCCTTACAACCCCATATGAATCCAAACACAGAAAAACATCAGAAGTTTCTTGAATATCTGTTAAATAGGTCACAAAATAGGAAATGTGCTGATTGTGGTGCTCTAAATCCATCCTGGGCCTCTGTTACACTTGGTTTGTTTCTGTGTCATAATTGCGCAGGTGCACATAGGTCTCTTGGAGCAGAAAAATCTATGATAAAAAGTATCAGTATAAACGAATGGAATACAGAAGAATTACGTAGAATGTTTGTAGGTGGCAATTCAGGTCATTTGAACAAATCTAAGCAATTCTACGAAAAATATTCAAACTGTAGCAAGCTCATACAAAAATTGGATGAAAAGGTATCAGCGCATAAGAAGGAGATACCAGATGATTCATTCTTAGATTTTGAGCAGAATAAACAGAAATTTACATCACAGGCAACGATCAAACATAAAAGTGTTGTGAAAATGTCTGATCAATTTCATGTCACTAGCGAAGAGAACTCAACAGAAAAGGAACAAATCAAAATAGTTAAAGAACCAAAAGCACCAAAACAGGTCGCACCACCTGTGGTAAAAGAAACTGTTCATTTAGGAAGAACTAAACTGAATACAAAAGAGCTAAAGAAGAGCGTATCCAACACGCGTAGTCCATTCACATTTTCACCACAAGAAATTAACAGTGACTCTGATATTGAATAAATAATATCGCCTTTATTCATCGTCTTTCAACAGTGCATCTCGGAGCACTTGTTTTAAATCGTTCTTCTTTATTTTTATGTAGATATCATCTCTCTCTAACACTTTATCATGTGATATTCCTTCAAATCCCACCGCAATGCTAACCAAATAGATGACATCATTTCCCTTTAAAACCAATACATGGTCAAAATCATTTTCAAATTTGAATCTCAGGTAAATCCGTGTCATTTTCAGCAGTATGAACAAAACATTTGTGTCAATTTGGTCCGTTTCTGATACAAAATGATCCGTCTTCAATTTTTCAAAGAATATCATCGTATTTTCTACCTTTTTCATTCCTTTGGCCAAATTCTTAAACGTATTCATCAATGTCATAATCATGTTCAAATAACCTGTGTTCATGTAGTATTCTTTCTTGCTTAATGAAAAGAATGCATTCAGTGGATTATTGTTGTGCAAAAAGTGACTGATCAATATGTAGTGCTCAATTGGTCTGATTTTGAAACTATGCTCATGCACAAAGATGAGGCTCGTCTCAGTCCCAAAGATGTATTCCATGTTCTCATTCTGTTCATAATCTATGTTTTTGTATGTTTCATGTGCAACTGCAATCGATATACCCTCTTTTGCCAGGAATTCATATATTTTTCTGTTGCAATTTGCCTTGTTTTCCTTATTCTGGCCTGAAAACAGCTTCTTTTTGCATACAGTCTTCAAATCATTTTGAATTGCATCAAATAATGATGATTCATATATGAAAGGCAGTGTTATCAGTTCCACCTGCTCTATTCCCATGTTGTTTACTTTCTTTGTTCTTTTAGCCTGGCTGACTAATTCTGCTCCTATATCACTGCACCAACTACAATATTCTTTGGTGAAATCATACGTAACATTGAATTCATGTGCTACTAAGAACGGCCAGACTATTCTGTGATTCACAAAGTTCAGCTGCTTAGCCAAATTGTACATTCCATAACACCCTGATAAAATTGAACTACATCTGCATAACTCCTTTGAGTATCTTGAATTATCCAAAATGATCAACTTCTGATTAGAACGCATGGTGAATGCTACATCATAGTTCATCTTTTCAAACTTCAGTTCATATTTTATCAGTTCCTTTTCTAGAATATTTCTGAGTATTTCCACCGTGCATATTGATACAATAGTGATATTGCATGTGATTTGCACCACCTGCTCCCTGCTAATTCCTTTCAGAATCTCCAGCGTGTTCTCTTTTCTCATGAAAATTTCTTGAGTCTCTTTTGCCTCCATGGAGAGGGATAAAAGTGCTCATGTTGAAATTGTTTTGACTGCCTGATTTCGTGTTGATTCTGTTTGTTTTGTAAAATAAAAAAATACAAATCCATGACACGATACATCCAGGGAAAGAAAATTGGATCAGGCACGTACTCCAATGTGTATGAGGCACTTGATACTGAAATGAATTGTATCGTAGCAATAAAAAAGATAACACTGAATCAGAGAGAAGGAATGCCATCAACAGCACTACGTGAAATTTCGATATTGCGAATTCTCAAGCACAAAAATATAATACAACTGCTACAAGTAATTCATAAGGAAGAGATGCTATTTATCATTTTAGAATACGCCAAATACGACTTAGGCACGTTTTTAGAAGCAAATAATGAAACAAAATACAACTTAGTCAATCAACTGATTTATGGAATAGCTGCAATTCATGCAGCAAACATAGTGCACAGAGATCTAAAACCAGCGAATATTCTCGTGAATGAGCTTGGTGTTCTGAAAATAGCTGATTTTGGATTAGCACGAGCAGTGAGTACTCTAGATGCTTCGTACTCATCTGAAGTGGTAACACTTTGGTATAGGCCACCTGAATTACTATTGGGTTGTACAATATACGCCTTTGAAATTGATATTTGGTCATTAGGATGCATAATATACGAAATGATCACTAACACACCACTTTTCCCAGGAGATAGCAAAGAAAAACAGTTAAACCTGATAAACAGCATATCACTTGCCAGAATTGAACAGGAATTGGTGATAATGCACAAAGCACCAATCGTATACGCAAAAATAGTGGTAAAATGCCTTGACAAGAATCCAAAATCACGAATCGCAGTCAATGAAATTATTGTGTTCTTGAACAATTGCAAGAAGAGATGAACACATCCCATTTACTGTTCAAATACATACAATTCATCAACTATGGAATTGTAAAATCTGCAATGCAATTTCTGGAACCTGACAATAATCTCCCCAATGCGCTTATCCCTTATGTACGAATTCATGCTCTTCATACAATTCTTACAACTTGCTGATAGGTTCTTTCTTTCTGCTTTAATGTATTCAGTGTCATATTGCTCATCCAGAATGGCCTTCTCCAAATCGTATCGATTGTCTCTAACTCCTTTTCTATTTTGGTTTATGGCACTTGCTTCCTCCATCAGAACATCCAATTCCAGAAGCAGGTTCTTTACCTCGTTGTTAAATGCGTTCTTGTTTTCTGCTACATTCGTATATGCATTCTGCATGTTTGCTCCTAGTCCTTTTCTCACTTTGTCTTTTGTGTATTTTGCTATCTCATTCCCAGCACAGGCCACATTTGAATACACATCATTCTTCTGTAGAATACTCGTCTTTAGTTTGTTTTCAAGCCAATAAAATCCGTCATAAAGGTACTTCACTGCGGAACTACCATGTTCGTAATGCTTAAATGTCTTCAAACACTCTCTAAGCATCTTTACCCCATTTCGTACCTTCAAATATTCCTCTTCTATTTCGAAGTAACCTGGGTTTAGATCCGTATTCTTGTATTCTATTTTGTGAAACTTCCGAATTAGATTCTTCTTTATTTCTTTCATGTCTATTCTCCTCACAGTTGCCTCGACCATTTGCACAAAATGCATTTCCTTTTTATAACAGGAATCAGCCAATAGATTTGTATTGGTTCCAAATTTACTCATCCAACATATGTCTGATATATTATGAAATTGATGGTTCCATCACTGAATTCTAGCATTGTGTTGGCTATGCACGAACATGAGCCTGAAAGGTGCTGTCCAATCCACACATTCCAACCCTTTCCAAACTGGTTATCAAATTTGGTTTTCAGGGCATTGGCTTTCTGTGGCACCGTTTCACTCTTAAACTTGTTGACGCACTCCTGCGCAAACTCCTTCAAGTCCTCTCTTGCATTTTTGTCCTTGAACTCCAGTTTGATTTCTCCTTCAGCCATAAAGGGTCTTTGTATCAGCTGTTTTATCAGTGTTTTTTGTAATAGTCTGGCATATCAGGTGGCCTATAGTCATCTGGGTCTGGTTTGCTTGCTTTTTTGTTCTTTGTTGGTAACACTGGGTCTTTTCTCATGTATGGATTGTGGTCACTGCTGCTTTCATCTTTCTTTTTCCTTGTCTCCTTTAATATTTCTTCAGGTGAAATGAACATTCCTTTATGTTTTCTTCCCACAGTCAGCGGATCATCCAAATTTGGGGGATTCAAATCATCGTGTCCAATTCCCTTTGTTTCTTTCTTTTTAAACAGAAATTTGTTACTGGTAGTCTCACCATTCATTGGACTGAATGTGAAACTAGACGTCTCCTCCCTCTTTGACACTGTTATTGAACCATCCTTGTTCTTTTTTACGTTGTATTTTCTACCAATGTATTCAAGAAACTCGTCTTCCATTTCAACGGTGAAAAATATTCAGGTTTGCTTAATTTAATTACATTTGGAATATCATCAAATTGTACTTTCTGTGAAGAATGGATACTCGTTGTAGAATCCTCTAAAGTCTCCTTCGATCACAACAGTCTTCTTTTGCGGTAGAATCCTCTTGATCTTCTCAAATAGGTTGATTTGTGCATTTGAGAACTCATCAAAATACAACACAATCATCGACTTCTCTTTAGCCATGTTATACAGTTCAGGAAGTCCCTTGAAATATGTTGCCATTCTAATATGGCTGTTCTTGAAGTCAGCAAACTTCCTACAGTCGAATATTATGAAACCCTTGTCAATTCGCCTTGTAAGCAACTTCATAACTTGTGTCGGTGTAATAAAATCCTCTACTTTGCTTCTCTTATTCGTTATATCATTGACTTCGGACAATTTGGTTTTTGTGTTGGAAAAAGGAGACGCATTCAACACGGAATCATCTGCTTCGTTCTCATCTTGATTAACGAATTCGACGCTGCTACCCAACGCATCTTTGCTGCTGGCATCACTGAGGAGCGAAGTGAGTGATAAATTGGGCTTAGTATTTTCACATGGTTCGAGTTTGAACTGGAACTCTTCTGATTCATTCAAGTCATAGTATGGCTTCACGTTCATGAATGCGTAGTCTGTTCTGGCATTAGAAGCATCTGATTCAACATCACTAAAGATTTCTTCAAATTTCATCAGGGTAAATTTTTAGCAGTTCAAACCCAATGCCGGGAAATTTAGTAAGGGCAATTAAGGCGTGTCGGATAATAAAGAATGCGCTCTCAAGAATGCCAATTGTACAAAAGCAGAGCAAGAGAAAGGTAGAATACACGAATGTAAGCGAGAAACAAAGAAAAGACGAAAAGATGCTTGAGAATAACAAGGAAACAATCTATCGCATTCTAGAACACGAAGAAGAGAAGCAAAGGCACGTAGATGAACAAATAAAGAAAGAAAGTAACCAAACAAAGCAGGAGATGATAAATATGACTGAAAAAATGAGAGCACGTCAGACAATTGAATATTATAGGACTGTGCATAAGTTAAATGTGGATTTCATACAACTAAATGTGCAAGAAACAGCCGATCTAATTGAATTATTGCACAGTGGTCACACAGAAAACAACAACATACAAGATCTACCTATTCTACAGAAACATTTTGCAAGCCTAATCAAATTGACGCCTAAGAAATGTCACCTGAGTTCGAATCTGGTTCACAGAATACGAAAATATTTCAAATAAACGAATATAACACTCTCCCATCAATTTACTGGAACTGTCTTCTCACTTCCTCCTCAGTCTGTGCCCTGTATCCTGCTTCTTCTCTTTTCCTCTCTTTTTTGTGCTTTACTTCACCCATCTTTGGCTCCAATGCCTCCCTTTTATCGTATTGTCCATCTATTTTTGCACGTGGGTCCTTGTAGAACTCCCGTTCCTTGTGTCCATCATTTAACTTGCACTTATCTGTGTTCTTGAATATCTGTGCCATTGGGCTTCAGAAAATCGTGCTTTTATAGGCTGCCCCTTAATATAGTGATTTAATAAATCATATTTATTCAATGTGTATGACAGACGTATTATCCATTGCTATAATCCTGCGCTTCTTTAGTGATCCAGTATTCATTCCCACATGTTTGATGCTCTCAATTGTTGGAATTGGTTTCTCCTTTTGTGTTAATTTGATGTTCAATATTATTTTGACCACAATAATATTCAGAAAAATGATGGCGACTGATAATAAGTCATTGAAGCATGTTGTAAAGAGTAGATAGTTGAAGCTCTCTGTGGTTTTCTTCAGAGCCACTGGTGCTAATGAGTTTGAGTACATTCCTAGAATCAGTCCACCTGCCTGTGTTTTACTGGCAATTGCTTCACCAGCCCTGCTATCGAATTCAATTCTGTAAATTGTCAATAGGTAAAGCACTAGAATTCCCGTCACCATTGAATAGAGAAAGGCTACCTTAGAAAACAGCTTCATGATGGGTTTCTTGGCACTGGTTACACCACAATTTCCGAATATCAATATCACCAAATTTCCACCTACAAATAACAGTCCTATTTCAGTGTGTGTTATAAAATATGCCGCCATTAGTGTACTCTCTATCTTTAGTATTGCGTAGTAGTAAATATTCAAGAAGAATACACAGATATTTGTTATGATTCCGATCAATGTAAAGATCTGCATGATGAACCTGCAGTTTTTGTATGCAAATGTCTGTTTTACCATAAAGGAAAACCAGGGGAGAATTAAAGCGCTCCTTAAAATAATAGGAGAAGGAATAGTGAAATATGGTTTTAGAACATTGCCCTCAGAAATGACTATAAAAAACAGGCTAAAATATTTCATAGAAGTCTCTGAGTTCTATTTCAACAATAAGCAGTATAATTTAAATAGACGAATGAACAAACAGGTTATAGAAATAAGGAATAGTTATAGAAATACGTTATTAAAGGAAGATAAAGAAATATTGAAGAAGATTCAGAAAATAATTTGTAAGAATTGCTATGCGAGCAAAGAAAGAGATGGACAGTGTGCGTTGTGTGTGTAAGATAGTTCAAATATTAGTTTGGAAATTATAAAAAGCTGACTCCCTAAGAAGGGGAACAGAAGGTTATCCAGACGACAGACCGGAATCAGAACCTGCGAGTGATGGACCAAAAGAGAGGCTTTACGCGATGAATGGAAACAACAGAAGTGCAGACTGTAGCACTATCTTTTGTGGTAAAACGAGTCAAGCGCTGCTACTTGTTTATTCCTGATGTTCTGTTTGTACCTGTTCTTTCTGTAATTCCTCTATCCCATAATAAAGTCTGTCTTGATATCCCATATTACTATTTTGAGGTAAACTTTCCCAAACTAAATTATTGATTGCCAGTTCATGGATCTATTTTGTCAATGAAAATGGTGATATCAGGTTCAAGCTACTGGATTTTAGTAATATGGCAAAATTTGATGGTTATTGTATCAATCGCATACTTCATAGAAATCCCACGATTGGATACAGCGAAGGTATCTTTGTGTTTAGGTGTTTAATGTGCTATTTGTGTATAGAAAAAGTAATGAGGAATATCAGGCACAGGAGTTCAACAATAACTACTCATATGTTAACACAGTGCTTAGATCTAGGACGATATTTGAGACCATCAGTGAAAGATTTGTTAGAGCATCCATTCATTACAGGTAAAAGGTTAAGAGTCATTGAAAGTAGAATGAAACAGCTTGATACCAAAACTGTAAGGTAAATGGTCTATTTCCTGATATTTCTGTAGTATATAACTGATATTGTTGTGATAGAAATGTTATCGTTGATCACATTCTTGTGCTCTATTATTCCAATCATTGTATAAAATAACAAATCACCACTTCCATACAAGTACAGATGTGTTAAATTAGCACATATTATTCCCAGTGCCATATCAATATTGTTTTTGACCTTTTTCTTTTTAAAATCCTTAGTAATTGATGTAAATGTGTCCAGAATGCAGAGTGATATAAGAGATTTGGTGAACAACTCGTATTCTAATGAGTAGAATGATACAATGATGCATCCTAACAGATAACTATGGGAGTATATCACATATCCTGTATCATTTTCATTTCTAAACCTATCAATAAATTTCAATACCATTCTATTTCGCTGTAATAATACAGACAAATAGAGCAATACTTCTATAATTCGTATCAGTACCATGGTTTCACTTCTACTTAGTCTCATTAGTGTGTAAAATAATACAATGTGAAATAACTTGCGCCTTAAATTACCAAAATTCCTTAACCAATATTGCATCAGTATGAATATTATACCAATGAAATAGAGTTCAACCTTACATAATAATATCTGTATACCACGTATTCTATCAATCAACTCAATTGTCATCGTATTATTGGCGATACTGTTGTATAATATCACACATAAATAGTATGAGATATTTGTATTGAATTGGACTATGAAGAATATCAGAGCAAGGCATATTCGCTCTAGTACATTGATACTCCTACTACCTTGTATTCCAATGAAGAATACACCACTGACAAATGTGTTTGCTAGGAATATCTCATGTTTCATATCTAACAATAATAAATAGACATATTTTTCTTATCATTTTACAGAAATTGTATTATTTCTCGTATCTTCTTTTTCTTTAGCTCCTTATACCCATTCTTCTTTTCTTTAGACTGTATTAACTGTTTATCTGCTTCTTTCTTATTCGTTACTGCTGTTTCGATTTTTTGTGCTTTTATTCCTGCAACTACTTTAACCAATGGCTCTTCCCTGGCTTTTTCTTTAGTGATTCTTGTTATATTCTCTTTCACATACTCTTTAGGCTTTTCAATCAGAGATTCCTTCTTACATTCTATTCCTTCTTTCTTTATTACCACCTCACTTATTTCACTTTCATCTTTCTCCATCTTCTTGGTTTCTACTACCCTCTTCATTACTTTTCGTACTTCTTTATCCTTTTCTACCTTTGTCTTCTTTATTGCTATTCGTTCTGTCTTGTTACTAAATATCGTCACATCATCACCCATTATCTTCTCAAAATCACTCTGCGATATTGTAAATAGATTGGATATAACATTCAGCACTTTACAATCCATCACAATCTTCACTGGTAAGCAGTCAAGTATCTCAAAACCATCATCATCCAATAAACTCACTCCCACAACATCTCTTCTGTAGTAAATCGCCAGCAACTCAACCAATTTACGTTTTATATTGAATACTGTATCATTCTCATTCACATCCAAGAGAAACTTAATCGTGTTAGCAAAAATACACCGAATTATCATGGGGCAAAAAACATCAGGGTTTCTAATTCTCACCAACTACTTCTTGAATAGCAATCTAACTGTGTTTTCCTTGACTGCTTCCTGCACACTCTCATATGACATCCTCTTAACCCCTGCTATCACTTCTATTACGTCACTTATAAACGATGGCTCATTCTCCTTCGCCTTTCGTACAGAAACATATTCTGATGCCGCATAACTCTTTCTAATCAAACAGAATGGACTGTCTGTTTCCACCAGTATCCTGTCAATAGGCAGTTGTGCTGCTAGATCTGTATTTTGCCTAAGACTGCATCCATTCAATCCAATATACAGTCCTAATTCAACCAACTTCTTTGCTTCTTTAATTGTACCAGTGTAGCTGTGTACTACACCTGTGATTCCTGGATACACCCTGATCATTTTATAGAAGTCATCAAATGCATCTCTTTGGTGGAATAAATACGGCACATTCATCCCATATAACTCCAACTGCCTTCTGAATACACGTTTCTGGTCCATTTTGTTACCACTTCTGCAATAATCAAGCCCACACTCTCCAATAGCAACAACATGTTCTCTATTAGACAATATGAAGTCACTCAGGTTATCCAAACCACTTTCTGCTTCATCCTTATCAATGTGGTTTGGATGTACCCCAGCACACATCACCGCCTTGTACTCCTTACACAGTTCCAGTACTTTTGTACTGCTTTCCATGTCACATCCTATAAATAGACATGTTACCTCATTCTCTGTTGCCCTATCCATTATCTTATCCAATGCATCCTTCTTGTAGTACGTTGGATTCACTGCTATGTCAAATACGCGTGTTTCCCTCATATTTTGGTTACTGAAATACCCCATGAAAAAGACGTATAGGCCACTGAAAAGGATAATTGAGAATGTAGAACGATACAAGAACAAAGTGGTTGACATGGAGAGCATGCTGAAGATAAAGAGGGATGCAGATGGAATAGAAAACATAGATGAGTATTGGAGTGCAGCTGGGAAGATACTGGAGACATCCCAGGTCATGGGAACAGAGGAGTGTGTGAAGATGCTTGAGGAGAATAACAAATGCATGAATGACGATAAGCATAAACTAGAAACAAACAAAGTTGATGAGTCAATTAGGAAGCCACTTTCAATGGATGGAATTGAGTTTAGTGCTGAGACAGTTGACCTACAGAATGCATTTATCAAGACATCAATCATCAAGGAAGAGACAGATTGCAGTGATTTGGAAGCAGGGGCCATAAAGGAGCAGATAAAAATCAAGGATTCTGAGGAGTTTGTGATACCAAAGTATATTGAAGATGAAGTAGATAATGAGATTGACTTTGGAGATGAATTTGGTCACAATGTGTCTGTTCAGAATGATGCATTGGAAGACGAAACCATCCATATTGCCGCTAATCACGTGGAGCCTGACAACTTCGATAAGTCTGACACACAAAACAGTCAATTGAAAAATGAGAAACAAGAAGAAAACAAAATGGCACGAATGAAATTAACACGACCAAGAAAGACACCCGTAAAGAAGAGAGTCAGAGACTCGCCAAAGAAAGCAGCTAAAAAGACAGCAATAAAGACAAGAAAGACAAAGGCTGTTTCTGGGGTACAGAGAAAACAAAAAAGGCTAATTAGGCCACTTCCATCCATTTCGAAGTCGATTCTGAATAACAGCCTGGATGCCACCCCAAGAAAAACAGCCCCTAAAACCACAGTCTCCAACTGCTTCAAAGTGGTCAAAATCAGCAGTGACTTTAAGAATGCGATATTGTACCTGGAACAGGAGGCCTACACGCACATGCACACTGCCGAAACAAACATGACATTCTTCGTGGAGAAGGGGACTGTTGCTGCCACCATCAACAACAAAGAGCACAGTTATAAGTCAGAGGAGTCATTTACAGTTGATAAGAATGACCGATACAAGGTGACTGGCAAGTCACAAGGTGGAACCACCCTGAATGTGGTCTATTTGAGGTAGTCATCAATTTATTGCTCAAATGCACAATTCTACTCCGGAAAACTCAGATTTGCCTCGTAGAACTCAATCAGTCTGATTGGCGCCTTAGAATGAATTTCTGCTGCATTACATACGCCCTTCTTCCCATCAACAGTCACGTACTCCACTTCCAGACTTCCGCTGTTGCTTCTGCTTACGCTCACCACCTTTTTGATGATGTCGTCCCACTCATTTGTTACCTGAAGCCTGAACATCTTTTCAGGCCTCTTCTTTTCAGGCACTTTCTTCTTTCTCTTATTCTCCTCGTATTCGCGTACCATGTCGTCACAGAACATGTTGTTCTCGTCCTCCCACGTGCACTCGCTCTCAGGATACCCAACCCACTTGATCAGGTACTGCTTCTTTCCCTTTATTGTTCTGTCTTTGATGATTCGCTCCACATCGTAAATTTTTTCATCTGAACATGACATGGGGTAAATTTGACAGGGGTTTTGAAACATTCCACTTCTCATTTTGCCACTCCACTCTTCCGGTTCCACCTGAGACTCCATTATGCACAACTTATTCCATCAATATTTGACCCATGCAAACTGAAAAATATCTATCAAACCAATCAAGAAAGAAAAACCACGTCTTATACGGTCTGATGACACTTGGATTCATGGTAGTCCTCATTGTGGTACTGGTCGCAGTCCAGTCCTCGTACAAGCACCTGATGAAGGAGTATACTGATTCTGAAACCGATCTCCAGAAGGAGCTCAGCCTAATCGGTGGAGTATTGGATACGAAGAGAAGTCATCTCAGTCGAGCATCCAATCGCCTTGAGAAACTCAACCACATTGATGAATGTGAGAAGTACTCACTCTTCTTCTACCTTGATAAACGAATTGATGGCACATTTGACATGCACGAAAATAGGTTGGATCAGCGTATCAAAAAGTACAAGACGATGATGGAACTTGGGAGGGAGCAGCTGGCTGAGACCAGAAAGACGAATTCGTCAAGAATAAGGCAGAAATCAACTATTGAAAAAAATAAGGCGAAATTCAGCCTGTTCAAGGGGTTTATGATGACTGAGATGCTCCAAGGCGCCGTCCAAACCATCGAGGCTGATCGAACCCGTGTTCGTGGATGGGTGAAGCAGATGGTCACGAAGCACCACGACCTGATGAACGAAACTACGAGCTACGACGACGACATCGAGGCCACTGGGACGATGGGTGGTCTCAGGCGACTCTACGGCAGAATTGGTGGTGACTCGCCTGGTGATTTTTGGCTATTTGTTGATCACTATATTGATGGGCTACTTCTGCTTGAGCAGACGATGCTGTACACTAAGAACGTGTATATCACGACAATCTACAGGAGACTTGTTGCTGCACTGCGTGTGATGCATGGGAAGTACAACGTGCTGCTCTACATGAGTGGAATGACGAATGTGAGTGGGGATGATCTGATTCAGTTTGGTGGTCGAATTGGAATGGAGATACAAAATGAGTACGACAGAATATCAATACCAAAAATAGATGAAGAGAAGTGGGCACAAATTGTATCAGGTGAAAAATAACTATAAACAGAATGATGTATTTTCACTCTACTTACTCTACTTACCACTATTCTTACTACCATACTAGTTACTATTCTTACTATTCTACCCTACTTACTATTCTTGCTACTATTCTTACCACTATTCTTACTACTATTCTTACTACTATTCTTACTACCCTACTAGTTACTATTCTTACTATTTCACCCTACTTACCCTACTTACTATTTTCACCCTAATAATTTAATGGAATTCAAAACCAACAGAGAAAAGTGCACTCTCTACGCAGTGGCAATTGCCGTGCTGATACTTGGTCTCATTCTCACCCACTGCTTCCTGAAGTACAAGATCCACCAGTTTGAAAAGCGCATTGCTTCCCTACGAATGCAGAAAGATGAGACTGAAACTGAGCTGAGCCAAGTCACCCAGGAACTCCACCAGGTGAAGCAGGCAGTATCGAAAATTGAGACGAGTGAACTCGACATGCTTGAAATAATCAAAAGAGTTCTGGCTGAGCTGNTCCACCAGTTTGAAAAGCGCATTGCTTCCCTACGAATGCAGAAAGATGAGACTGAAACTGAGCTGAGCCAAGTCACCCAGGAACTCCACCAGGTGAAGCAGGCAGTATCGAAAATTGAGACGAGTGAACTCGACATGCTTGAAATAATCAAAAGAGTTCTGGCTGAGCTGAAGAGCGATGCAAAGAAGGAGGAGGAGAAGCTGGTCAATCACAGGCGGATGTTCATGTCCCTTGACAACAATGTTCTTCTTGATGATCTGACCACAATAATGACCAGAAGCAAGGAGGTGCAGAGCAAGGAGGTGCAGAGCAAGATGACGTGTGAGGGCCACATCCACAGTGTGCTCACCTTCAAGGAGATACCGACTGACTGCTTCATCAAGGGCTGCTTCTCGCAGCCTGCATCGAAGGAGATGCTCCTTCTCTTCCGGAAGAAGCTCATGAGTCCAATAGTCAACAACAACGATGGAAGCAAGCTGACCAAGGAGCAGCTTTCGGCAGCAATTGATCTCCACCTTGGTGATAAGGTGAAGGAGAAGTACAAGAAGAGCATTGATCAGTTTGAGAAGACGGTTGTGATGCTGGAGACTGATCCATCGAAGTACTACGGTGACTTCAGGAGTCAGTCAAAAAGGTACAGTGATAGGGAGACCAAGTTGTACGAGACAGCCACTCGGATTGAGCATCTACGACACCAACTGGCGTCGTACGGGAGGATGATGCAGAATTCAGTGATTCCACCACTGCAGGAGATCGATAGCATCAACATGGAAGTGAAGAGGAACGTACTGGGGATGGTGAAAGCACTATTTGATGAAATGATTGAAACAGGGAGGTTATAATGGTGGTAGTTGTAGTAGTGGTAGTTAGATAATAAAGTATAATAAAGTATTGTTGAGAGCATCTTGTAGAGTGAAAGGTTTATTCATAAGGATAGGGGTTCTTAGGAACCTAGAATATAGGCACTTCCCAACAAGTATAATATATTTCTACCTATAATATTATTGTTACCACTATAATATATTTCTACCTACTATTTCTACTATAATTGTCACTACCTATAATATCACTACCTACTATTGCCACTACCTACTAATATCACTACCCAACATTAGTAACTATCTCTTCTTCTGGTATTTCTATTCTCCTACTCCTCACGTCTCTCTTGTTTACTACTCGTGCACCCAGAAAGAGTGATCCACAGAATATCACTGCCAATGCGTACAGAAACATCCTGAACTGGTGGGACGAGAAGTGATCGAAATCCTGGAAGTAGATTCCAGCAGTTGTGATTGATAGGAGTGTCCATGAAATGTGGAATATTGGCACCACCAAAAGTGCATCGTATCGAACCAGAGCACGATTCAGCCAGTAAATTTGCAGAAGGGTGCAAATGACGACTGAGGATGCAAAGAGGAGGGTGCTCCTGTGAAGGAGACTGGCGGTGTCACCGCCTATGCCACGGGAGATGATCTCACCGAGGCTCTTGATGCTGAGGGTGGTGAACGATGCGATGAGGCTGCTGAGACCGACGTAGGCGAGGACCATCAGGTGCTGGCAGGTGAAGGAGTCCTCGTCGAAGAAGAGGCGATTCACCCTGAGAATGCGGTTGAATGGGTCACCGTGGTAGTCCCAGTCCGAGTTGGCCTCGACGAACTTGACGTAGAGGAAGATGGCCAGNAGAAGGGTGCAAATGACGACTGAGGATGCAAAGAGGAGGGTGCTCCTGTGAAGGAGACTGGCGGTGTCACCGCCTATGCCACGGGAGATGATCTCACCGAGGCTCTTGATGCTGAGGGTGGTGAACGATGCGATGAGGCTGCTGAGACCGACGTAGGCGAGGACCATCAGGTGCTGGCAGGTGAAGGAGTCCTCGTCGAAGAAGAGGCGATTCACCCTGAGAATGCGGTTGAATGGGTCACCGTGGTAGTCCCAGTCCGAGTTGGCCTCGACGAACTTGACGTAGAGGAAGATGGCCAGAATTGATGCAAGAACGAGACCAAACCAAATGAGAGCCTGTGGCCTCCAGTAGAGTTTGACTAGTTCGCAGAAGGAGTAGACGGTGTGTGACTTTGAGGTGGATGCGACGAGGATGGTCGATCCGACTGAGACGAGGACGATGGCGACGCCGTCCTTCCAGGAGAAGATCTCGTCGTTGATGAGGGGGGCAAAGAGGGAGTTGGAGACGAGGCCAGTTGCAGAGAGGCCGGCCATGAGCGACTGGTTTCCGAAGACGTAGGCGGCGAATGAGACGGCCTTTCCGATGGCGTAGACTGCGACACCGAGGCCGAGGGTGTTTGCGAATGCGCCTGCGACTGGGACGTAGGTGCGACGGTACGAGAGTTTCTGGAGGTTGATTCCGACGTTGATGAGGACGTTGCCTGAGACGGAGCAGAAGACGGCGACGATCCACGACCTCTCGCGCCTGTCGAGGCAGCGAGGTGCTCCCTCTGCCATGCGACACTCCTGCGAGTGGCCGCAGCCTGAGAGGAGGCCTGGTCGATTTGGGTTGCAGTCACCGAAAGGCGGTGTCTCCCTGCAGCAGAAGGTGCTGGGCGAAATGGCCCTGAATCCGATTCGGCACTCGATTTGGCCACTGCACTTGGCCGAGCAGGCGAGTGGGCCAAAGAAGCCGTGGGAGGCGCACTCTTCCGGGAAGTGGCAGGGCATTCCCGGGCCACGAAGTGGAAGGCAGCGGCCACGGACGCAGTGGGCCGAGTTGAAGTCGGGGATCGTCGTCAGGCGGCAGTCTGCGTCGATGCGACAGGTCGGAAGGGTGNAGCCTGAGAGGAGGCCTGGTCGATTTGGGTTGCAGTCACCGAAAGGCGGTGTCTCCCTGCAGCAGAAGGTGCTGGGCGAAATGGCCCTGAATCCGATTCGGCACTCGATTTGGCCACTGCACTTGGCCGAGCAGGCGAGTGGGCCAAAGAAGCCGTGGGAGGCGCACTCTTCCGGGAAGTGGCAGGGCATTCCCGGGCCACGAAGTGGAAGGCAGCGGCCACGGACGCAGTGGGCCGAGTTGAAGTCGGGGATCGTCGTCAGGCGGCAGTCTGCGTCGATGCGACAGGTCGGAAGGGTGGTACCCAATTCACGTAACTCACCCATGTCACCTACGACTACATTCGCGTATTCCAAAATGTCCATGATTTGTTTACGTCTGTTTTAGTTATCAAGGCGCATTAAAGAAGCAACTGATTGCAAGCAACAGCAACAAATTGCAAGACGCGGGTCACCGATGCGTAGGCAGAGACTGCGGCATCGGACGAAGGCAGCTGCCATCGACTTGGGGCAGTCGGCTGCCTCGATCTCAACCACCCTCTTTCCAACCACAGTCACCCTCATTCTCCCTGTCACAGTCACAGTCACCCAAACTCGATTTCCCTCCTTCTTCACCTCAACCTCCCCAAAGAGCGCCTTGTAGAACTCACCCAGCATCCTGTGCCAGCAGAAGACCTCCTCGATCTCCTCCTCGCTTCCAGCAACCGTCAGTCTCCTCACTTCACCAGTCAGCTCCCTCTTTCTCTCAATCAGCTCCCTCTCCTTTCGGAGCAGGTCGTCGATCTCGTTTCTGTCGAAAATGGCCCTCGTCTCGTTCAGACGCAGCTGCGTCTTCCCGTTCTCCGCCTTCATCGCACCGAGCTGCTCCTCGAGGCCCCTTTGTCTCTCTCCGCTGCTTCTGATGATTTCAAGGCGGTTTGCGTCAGACTGAAGGGCATTGATTTCCTCAGCCAATTTGTCTCGCTCTCTCTCACTCTCCCTGATTTCAGTCTCAATCTCAAACTGCTCCTTGCTCAGTCCGCTCATCGACTCGCTCTTCTCCTCGTAGATCCGTTTTACGCTCCTCAGATTCGCCTTGCTTTGTTCAAGGACTCGGCCACTGATTGATACACCATCGTCATGCAGGTTGTCGTAGAAGAACTTCTTGCTCTCTCGCTCTCTGTACGCGAATTTGACACTCGTGAAGTAGTCTTTGATGCTCTCGTACTCGTTCTCAAGATTCAGGAGGGAAGTGTCTCTCTCACTATTTGTCATGGGGTAGTAAGAAGAATATATAGTAATATAGGTAGGGTAGTATAATAGGGTAGTATAGGTAGGGTAGTATAGGTAGGTAGTATAATAGGGTAGCATATTACTATACTGTACTATATATTTACTCCCTATAATACCATTTACTTGTAAACAAACAAACAAACAAACATGTACCCTGTAAATGGCCCAGGAAGTCTCTCAATTCATCTGCGACAACATCAACATGCCATCCTGTCACCCACTCGATCTCAACACCACCTCCTACCTGAGCAGATCGGGCTCAATCCTAGGCATCCAGGTCGATGCGCCCTACACAATGGCCCTGAACCTCATTGGTGTCCTCCTCTGCCTCAGAATGTACCAGAATACGAATAACATGCATGCTTGCATTGGTAAGGGGGAAGTTAAGCTTATTCTCCTCTGTTTTGTTCTGAACAACTTGCTTCTTGTTGCGTGCATCAACTTCCAGGCCGTGATCGTAGGCGCCTCTGACGGCGCCTATCTCCTCCTTGCTGCCGCCCAGCTCACCCTCTTTGGCACGCTCCACTTCGGAATATTCGCATCTGGAATCACAATCGACCGAATCCATGGAATCATGAGAATGCAGTCCCACGTCTTCCTGAGTGCCATCCTCTGCTGCTTTGCCTCTGTTCTCCTTGCATTTGCTCTCATTGGCCTCTACATCAACAACTACCTGGTCTT